CCCAATCGCCTTCTACACTCCAGCCGTTGTGCCGGCAGTCGTCACTTTTTACCTTTCAACGTCATGCATCGCAGCTACAATGGTTTGCGTTACTGAAATTTAGAGTGCATTATTAAGCCGGCTTTAAATCGTGTGGATCCGCCACGATACCTCCGATAGAGCTGTTCCTGCAATTCCCATGCGCTGGGAACAGGGGCGGAGTTTTGACGGTGGTTATTCACATGAAGTTCTTTTTTTGTAGATAACGTCTCCCTGATGGGCGCAGGGGTGGGGTGGAGCGTTGGCCTTGGCGTTTCAAGCAGCCTGACAAGGAATCGATAATTGCCAGCTGGCGCGTGTAGAACCACCGCCGCAATCCTTCAGCAGGCCGTTCAGGATGTATGAAATACTGTCAGGTATAGCACTTTGTCAGAGGAAAAGGCACATGTCCCCATGAAAATGTGGGAACTGGGGTCATCGCATCAGCATAACAACTCATTACAACAATGCGACACTCCACATCACGACCCAGGAGCCGAGATCCATTCGATCTTTTGCTTGAGGCGCAGTCAACAGCATGACTCCAGGAACACCGAGCATACCGATAGTGGCATCATCGCTAACCTGCCTGGGTCTCCCGGCCCGCTACCGTTGACTTGAACCCCCTGTTAGGTCCGGATCTGGTGCCATTAGCGCTATCGAAGATACTAAAATACGATATATAGGTGAGCATATACAGGGTAGCTACTCACGAACGGTTCCCATCTTGGCAGTACGCTATCCTCTTCGATGCTAGGTCTACAATCCCCTCGTTCGTTTCAACGGTATCCATTTTTGCAAACTCCTATGCGGGTCACCGTTATGGGATCGTGGCTGGGACGGGTATATAGATAGTTGACGCCAGTCCTCCGATTCCTGCCTCAGGCCAGTTGTCTGATTTCACATCCAAGATGCAGGTCCGCACTCTTTTCGCCGTGCTTTCGGCAGCCACTCTTTTACAATTCACCAACGGTCTTAATGCTTGCCCTGGCAACGACGATATCTTTACTGGAGCGGAAGGCATCAGATATCGAGTTTGCCCCGGTACCGACCTTACAGGACCTACGACATCGATCAAGCGCGTTGCTTCGGTTACAGCATGTGCAAAACTCTGCGATAAGAGTATGGACTGCTTCAAGGCAGTGTTTGATACCAAGACGAAAGATTGCCACTTCAAGGATCTTACCGGCCTGAATTGGGTTGCCAACGATCGCTTCCAGGTCATTCAAGCAGAGCAAGTGAACATCGCTCGCTGCCCTGCTGGCGAATGGACGTATCACAGAAACAGAGTAAGTCTGCTCCCCAGTAGCTTGAGACACGCGGAGATTAACATTGCACCCCTAGAAACAATACAGCATCTGCCCTGGCACCGACATCCGCGGACCAAGCGAGAAGGTATGGCAAGGCGTGAACACATTCGATACCTGTGCCTACCTTTGCGCCAACTGGGCCACATGTACCGCCGCTGTCTACGACTCTGCCAAGAAGGCTTGCCACATCAAAGCCGACTCGCGCAGTAACACTTTGATCTGGTCAACCGACAAACGCTTCGATGTAATGCGTCTCAATGTAGCGCCTGCGCCTGCGAAGGATGGTGAATGGTCAGATCTTATCCGCCTGCCCGTCATCCCGGTTGCTGCATATGTCGTCCCGGAATACCCTGTCTCGGAACGTCTTCTCGTATTCTCGAGTTGGGGCGCTGATGCTTTCGGAGGTGCTGGTGGACGCACTCAATTTGCGGACTACAACTTCAACAAGTAAGTCATAGTGGCCCAGTATCATCAACGCACGCTAACATTCTCTTAGTGGAGCTGTTTCAGCTCGTACAGTGAGCAACACTCATCACGACATGTTCTGTCCCGCAATGAGCAGTCTTCAGGACGGAAAGCTTCTGATCCAAGGAGGATCTGACGCTTCCGCGGCCAGTCTTTATGATCCAGCATCAAACGGATTCACTCGTGCACCCGACATGTTAGTCTTTTCTAGCTCAATGATATGAACTTCATACTGATGGTACTTAGGAAAATGGCTCGCGGCTACCAATCATCCACGACGACATCCGACAACCGCGTTTTCACCATCGGAGGTGCATACTCTGGTCCACGCAAGGGTAAAGACGGCGAAGTGTACGACCCTGCCACCAACGCCTGGACGGCACTGCCAAATGCGAAGATGAAGGCTATGCTCACGACCGACCATGAAGGCATCTGGCGTGAAGACAACCATGCATGGTTGTTTGGTTGGAAGAACGCCTCCGTTTTCCAGGCCGGTCCAAGCAAGGCCATGAACTGGTACGGTACCAAGGGAACTGGATCGCAAGTCGCTGCTGGTATTCGTGACCCCATTGATGATGCGATGTGTGGAATCTTCGTCATGTACGATGCCACTGCTGGCAAGATCTTGAGTGCTGGCGGCGCGCCTGACTACACCAACGCAGACGCCAACGCTCGGGCCCACATCACTACAATCGGCGAGCCGAACACCCCTGCCAAGGTTGAGCGAGTCGCGGACATGGCCTACCCTCGCGGTTTCTCCAACGCGGTCGTTCTGCCTGACGGAAAAGTTCTCGTAAGCGGTGGTCAGAAACGCTCATTGGTCTTCACCGATACGGATGGAGCTCTCTACCCAGAATTGTTCGACCCAGCCACCAAATCTTGGAAGACTCTAGCACCACAAGCTGTCCCCCGCAACTATCACTCAGTCAGCATCCTGCTAGCCGATGGACGCGTTTTCTCCGGTGGCGGTGGTCTCTGCTACGTCGCGCAGGGAGTTGGCCGCAGCTCCGCCAACTGCAACAAACTCGTCGACCATGCCGATGGCCAGATCTTTTCCCCACCATATCTCTTCAACAACGACGGTACCCCCGCAACCCGACCAGTCATCAGCTCTTTGAGCGCGGAGAGCGTCAAGGTTGGAGGCAAACTGACCATCCAAGTCGAGACGTCTACACCAGGCCTCAAGTTCGCCTTGGTCCGCATCGGCAGCGTCACACACTCCGTCAACACCGATCAGCGCCGCGTGCCTTTGACCAACGTCAAGGGTGATGGATGCAGTTACACTGCTACACTGCCCGACGACAGTGGCATTCTCATCCCAGGTGCCTACTACGTCTTTGTCATGTCGAAGGAGGGAGTTCCTAGCATCGCCCGGACTGTACAGATCGTACTCCCATGAGTTTACCGTGGCACGGGTAGACCCACATACTGGATGTCGCAACGCTCTTTACGCACCACTCGCTTTCATACGTCACCATCACATTAGCCTAACCCATAAGTCTTTCATTTCCCTACATAGTTAGTATATAATGTGTATTACAAGATAATGTATACTATGAGTACAGAGGATGAGCAATCAAAATATCATCCTCATGTTAAAAATCCTTCGTATAGATGAGTGATTTACCCGTCAAGTTTGCCTGACTTTGCACATCCCGGTAGTTGAGCCTCCCCCAAGGATCTAAACTTCATCGCATCTTTCGGCTAATATTCTGCAAGCAACCAGATTGTACTGAACGTATCACCCGTTACAGATGACACATGTGCTGTCAATGTGGGAATGTAGCCTCTAGTTGGGCTAGCTTATAGATTTTGGTGACACTATGCCGGCTGTTAGTTGCCTGACACCGCTCATGAACTGTGTACGCCAGCTTTTGTCAGCTATTACACCTGAACCAATTGTACGCTCTCAGCAAACCGTATTTCCTAGTTGTCACTAGACGCCCTATCCCCGCTAACTGTCACTGTTCTTCGGACTCCGAGGCCTGCTAGCGAACTCGACATCTACGACCACAAAATGACACTGTGAGACATACACACTCAAGAGCTACTGCCTACGAGGCCAAATGTGTTTACGATCAGTTTTAGATAGAGTGTTGGTGTTCCATGTGGAAGAGGGCTATACGAAATGTAGGAGGAGGTGGCGCTCACGATGCGCCGAAGCAGAAAGGCGTTCCAACATCGGTCAGCACGAACAAGAGTTTCACGATCGCAGAACTATTGACTTGAAACGTTCCCTATACTCACGATAAGCGTTGCCAACCCTCTCACACATGTCTTGGAGGACCTTTGCCGCTGGGGCTGGCACTAGAGACATGGTAAGCTACGCGTATAAGATACGCAGCCTCGACTTTCACCAGGAGCACCTATCAAAGCAGTCTCAGAACGTCGTTACTTGAGTCCTCATATTGCAAGAGAGCCATCATGCACTTCTCTCCCCTCCTCTTCAGCCTCGGCGCCCTGGCAGCCACATTTACGGCCAATCCAGCACCCGCACAACTTACAGAAGCACTGCCAGCACTAGATGCAGGAACAGCCGAGCTAGGCCGCGACGCACTATCCGGCAACCTGCCCAAAAACCTTGCCAAGATTTGGATCTTCAGCAACCTCAACTGCGATCAAAACAACGGTCCTGCTTGGAACATCTACGTACTTCCCGGCGAGGACAGATGCATTCCGTATCAGAATGTCGGGTCGATCTTCGCGTGGTACGAGTCTGATATCGGGTACGTTCTCAGGTTCTGCTTCAAGGAAGGTGAACTGATGTGTGATCTCGTTGTTTTAGGCATTGCACGACTACGATTCATAGTGGTAGTAATTGCAGAGGCAGCAGTATGACGCCGTATAACAAGATGTGCACTAGTGAGTTGTTCGCGTCGCTCAGCGTCTCGTGCCCGAAGGTGTAAGAGCATCGGTCGCATTACTCTCCCAAGTGCATCAAGAGGGGTGTGCCCTTCTGGGAAGATGCTGTAGAAGTGGTCGTTGCGATGAGGAGCAGATTTCTTCCAGGTGTTCTTCTGTTTCTTCACAAGTAAATCACTCAATAAGGCTCACTATTGTACCGAACAACTTGATTTGGCTTTACGGTACTATGCTAGCCGTGACCCATACCCATCTGTGGAAAAGTCTTCATCCACTGTTCGCAAACCACTGCGCGTGGTAGTCATCCATCCCCTTCATAAATCCCCCTAAGCATCTCAAACTGCTCTAGTGTGGGAACTTCCAGTCCTCGGGGCCCTCGGGGCCGGGCCAAAAGAATCCGCCATCCTTGTCCCAAGGCTCGTCAAACTCGGAGGAAGAGTCATAGTCCGATACATGGCGGCATCGGTAACAGCGGTCCACAGACTTGTCGAACGGGACTCCATCCCGGTACGCTGCTGCGCAATCAGCGCACACGGTGTTCCTGATCCTGTCCATGCAGACAGCGCACTGTGTCCTGAGGAACTCCGATGGCTTATCGGAGGACTTCTTGCAGGTCACTATGCAGCCATGCTGCTCCTTGACCGGGCGTTCGTGCCAAACGATCCTGTCTTTGCCGCTGTGAGCGGCCGTGGAAGTGGCCAAGAGGGCCACGGCGGCGGCGACGGAGAGGAGGAAACGCATCTTTGGTAAGGGCCTGGAGGTCTTAGTTAGTATTAGTAGGGAAAAGGGTTAGGCAAGTAGTACGAGAGTGGTATCGTTTTGAAACTATTTTCCATTAGCCAGTTGTAATAGGTAAAGGGGAAGCTGTTCGTACATTTGCGTGGGGTTGTTCTTCCTAAGACTTGATTGACTTGTGTTGAGACTGGAAGTTACTGCTATATGATGAGAGGAAAAGGACATGAGAGGAGGGATGTGAAGGCTTTTATATGAAGACGAGTCGAATAGAAATCGCTAGACCTTTGGTAAACTAACGAAATTTCTCTATCGCACTGTTGCAGAACCATGCCTATACATGGACAGAATTAGCATTACCGAGATCTCATAGGAGAACGAAAGCGATTTGCAAGTGGCCTCAGGTCACGAGGATCACCAGCCAATCGTGTGTATGGCGTCGCGAATTCCGGTGAGTTATTCAATGACCTTCAAGACGTGAATCTGGTCGACCCAAGCAATAGGATAATGTGCTTCCCGTAGTTGACAATGGTTCATCGTATGCTGCGTATGTGTGAGGCTCTCATAAGAGACAACCGTTTTTTTTTTCGTTCGTACCTTGGCTCAGGCATCTAGTACCAGAATTCATTGCTTTCGCGAGTGCTCCAATCTAAGGGTAAATTTTGGTATGGACGTAGTTTGGAATAGGTAGGCTTTGAGTGGTTCGTCGGTACCGGTTATCGCGGAACCAGTGAGCCTGGCACAGAACATTATCTGGGACGTACTCGCTGGATCATATACATTGATTCCTAGGGGCCAACAGACCGCTTATACTTGCATGGCGCGATTTAGTGATGAGATACGGCCTCGAGATATGAGCTTCATCGCATGCGCCATGCTCCTAGCTATGCACTATCCTGGCGTAACGTTTGCAGTTCCGTGGCAACCCAAAACGCGTACAGTATAGTCGGAATTCGACATGATGCACCGCTGCTCATTCTATGTACCAGGCCAGGAAAAAAAGGGATATCGAGCATCCCCGTCGAGAGTTGGGCATCGTAGCCAAACCACCAAAGTCATGATGCCTACGCTGTCGTAACGCCTGACACCGGGTATGAATTAGCAAGGTAAAACTCAGAGAGCGGAATGATGACGAAAGCGCTCTACGAAAGAGTGATGTCGCTACCTTCCCCATTCTGTTCCATCGTAGTATCGTCCCCATCGCCGCCTGCCAGGACCTTGGTCTGAGGTCGGTATCCGTCTGGTGGGCCTACACCAGGTGTGCATGCTGCGACATTGCCATCCTCGTCGACGAACTCGAAGTTGTAGCGGGACAGCAGATGAGGGATCGCCGAAAGTTGTGGTCCGTAGCGCGCGGTATTATCGTAGAGCTCGAACAACGGAACGGCGAGGAGTTTCATGTTCTTTGGAACGCTGAGAACCTCTGCGAAGTATTAGCAATTGTACATATTGTGGAAGACAGGCGACTCGAGTCGACATACTGCTACGGGGAAGCTGGATGAAGTACAGCTTCTTGCATTCCTTTGGCCTGGTGACATGCGCAGGGATGAAAGGGTACATGAAGGTCTCGAAGTTGGGCCGCCACCACTGCGCCAGCGTGTCGCCAACTACCCACTCGTCGTTTACGCCTTCGCCTGTGAACTGTGTGCCCACTGGTGCGAGGCGCTCGTTCAGCCTCGCCTTGAAGCCCTCAATCTCGTCGTCTTCAGCGCGGAGGTAATCGCCAGGTCTGTCTGACGTCAGTGATGATATAAGACAGTGCATGCGAATACGTACAGCTTGAAGAAAGCGTTTGCGATCTGCAACATGAGGATGTGCGGGTGGTTGTGCTCATGGCAGACCAGGATGCCTTCGCAGGTCCGTCGCATGCCATGCTCTGAATAGTGCTCTTCTAACCGCTTGAGTCGGGCAAGGACGGAAGGGTCCTCTTCGGGCTGGCCATCCTTGGTGCCAAATGTGTAGTTGCTTAGAGGGAACAAGCGGATGGTCTTTGGCTGGTTGCCGTTGAAGTCCTTGGGAATGACGGGGCTGCTCCAATTAGCTAATGCAATCAACACGGCTTGTCAGACGTACGGGTATGAGCTCTGGGAAGCTTCCTTGACTATGGTGGACATGGTGGGCGCGAATGGGTCGTGTAAGCGTTGGGTTGCTTGTTGCGTCGCGACAGTCGAACAGTCGCGGCGAGCTTGCAGGGATTCAGGACCTCGCTAGCACGTGATGATGCGCGGACCTGGGGGTGCCCCACGGCAGCTGCCACAGATGCAACACGCTGTCGTCATCACCGCATCTAAACTTCTCAAGAACTCATTGATTGCGCCTGGTATCAGTATGGCACAGACAGCATTGATCACCGGTGGTAAATAGCCTCCACGAATGTGTTACTGCTAGCTGACCGCAGAGCGAAGCTAGTGGTCTGCTCGGCCGGCAAGTGCAGCGAGAGTTCTTGTTAGATGGCTGGAAGTCTCTCGGCACTGGTCTGCATCGCATCACTGCTCCAGATGTGGTGAAGCTGGACATTTTGGATCAGAATGAGATCGCCAGGGTGCTTGATGAAGTCAACCCGAAAGTCGTCGTCCACTGTGCTGCCAACCGCTTCCCTGACTCTTGCACCGAAGACCCAGAAGCGGCCAGGAAATTGAACGTAGACGCGAGTCGAGCGCTGGTTGAAGCCACCATCTCTCGGGGAATCTTCCTCATATATATCTCAACAGACTACGTCTTTGCAGGAAGACCTGGAGAAGCTCCTTACAAGACAGATTCGACGCCGTGCCCACCTAATACGTAAGTCTTGGTTTATCACACCATAGTCCTAACGGATTTTGGGTCGTTCGTTCATGTCTTCCGAGCCTGCTCCAGGAACAACGCTATCTCAGGAAAATGCTGGGCAAGGTGTCTGATCACGGCTGACACTCCATCAGGTATGGTCAAACCAAGTTGGAAGGCGAACAGGCTGTTCTCGAGGTTGCCGCTAAGACTGGCGCAAAGAACAAAGTCGTCGTTCTCCGAGTACCGGTCCTTTACGGATCCTGCGATGAGCCCAAAGACAGTGCAGTCAATGTCCTCATGTCGCAATTGTGGAACGCCCAACGAATAGAGCATGGTCAAACCAAGATCCAAGTCGACGACTATGCGCTTCGATACCCTACCAACACTCAAGACGTTGGCCGAGTATGCCGCGACATAGCGAAGCTGTATCTTGATCCCGCGAACGCGTAAGCTAAACCCGCGTCTCCGATCGATGAGATGCTTCTCTCATATGGTGCTGACGGCCTGTTATAGGAAGCGCGAGCTACCCAACGTTCTTCAGTTCAGTTCGGAAGATCGCATGACTAAATGGCAGATCTGCCAGACATTTTCTGATATCATGGGGTTGCCACTCGACAATATGGAGCCCTTCAAACCTGACGAAGAACCAAAAGACGGCACTATCAGGCCTTACGACTGCCATCTGGACACTAGCGCGCTGCGGGACCTGGGTATCGATGTATCAACAGTTGACTTCCGCACATGGTGGTAAGTACTACTCGCTGTCGCTTTTCACCGCTCACAATTTTGCAGGAGGCGAGAAGTTGGGGCTTTCCGCTGAGGATTATCCCGGTTGACAACACACGAACGCCTATCGGTAGATCATCAGAAAAGCCTCCAGAACGTGATGACCTTGTGCTCCTGCTGCATAATGGTCAGATGTCTCAATATTGCTAGTCGCAAAGCCAAGATTGCGACGCCGGTAGATCTCCGCGACGTGTCCCAAGTATAGCTATCCGTACCTGCGTTTTTACTGTTACAGGAAAGTCTGAATCCACTTACCGCACATCTCGGATATCGCATTGGATGTTCCAGCGCCGGCCCGCAATCGTCGCGTTCCGAGATTGTGGTTCTTGCCCTAATCGGGCTTGCGGTCGCTAAATGATTGGATGGTAGCCATCTTTGCGGCGCAGTCTCGCGCCTTGAGTTTTGGGGGCGCTTATGCTCCACGATAATGCTGTTAAGTATCTATCCTCTCAGCGTGTAGAATGCCTGAATCTACTTCCGTTGCTTTGCATTTCTCGCGTCGCGCTTCTTTTCGTTTGCTCGTCGCGTGTTCTTTTCTTCACAATGGATGCCAGTCTAGCGCCTGTGGCGCGATCAAGCTTCCCGGATGCTATTGGGCGTAAGAAGTCAAACACCATTGTTTCGATCTTTGCGCGCGATGAAGAGCATAGATGTAAGCTATATTCGAGGCTAAGTGGAGTCGTGGATCATACTGACGAATTGACAGCTGCCAAACTTTGGAAATCCACAGCGCTGCGCGCACCCGTCCTCATCTTCACGATATTGCTATGCTGGACCATCATCGCCGTGCTTCAGTACTTGCTTGTGTGCAGTCAGCGGGATAATGGGATAATATTCGCACCCAAAATCAACGACCTTCCTTTGAGCCGAACATTTCTCTACCTTTACTTTCCGACGATTATCGCTGTAATCTTCAGTATCTATTGGGCATGGATCGACCTTGAGACGAAACGACTGGAGCCATACTATCAACTGAGTAAAGAAGATGGTGCCTTGGGAAAAGATTCTTTACTTCTGCATTACCCTTTCGACTTCATACCATGGGTACCGTTCAAGGCAGCGAAGGACCGGTACGTACAATTCGTTTTACAAGTCTGTTAGTTACTTTTATGCGACGCTTTTAGCCCAGACATTTGAGAACAAAGACCAAGGGTCTTTCTACTACTAGACTTTCATGAGATCGCTAATCGTTTGTAGGCATTGGCCAGTTTTCTGCGCTTCACTTGCTGTCGTTCTCGTGACGTGGGGTGTGGTACCTGTTCAAGCTGGTATCTTCTCGGTGCGAACAGTGACGCGTACCACGAACACGACTTTCGCCGTATCGACCTCCTCCATTCCTGTTGAGAAACAAGCGACAACCCTGAACTTTGGATACGCGCAGTCAACGTATGGTATCGTTTCGTTGAACGAGACTCTTCCACGATTCATGAACCGCAATTACACTTTAGCACCATTCCGTCCGTCCACCGACTTGCATTCGACAGGACTTGACAGTGGGGTATGGACGGCTCCTACTACCAAATACTCTCTCGATTTATATTGCGAAGACGTATCTCACAAAGCTGATAACAGTGCGACAATCGCTTATACAAGTAATAGCGGTTGTAACTTCACTACTGGTTTGACTGGAAACTTGACGATGGGCAACATTCCCGGATACGAAGGAGAAGCTTATGCTCTCAAAGAATACACTAGCACGTTTGTCGGGTAAGATCCATCTGCATCTACAATACGGCTTATAACTGACTTTGCGCTTAATGAAGTTACCACAACGGTGGATTTGCCGATTACTCATTGGACGCCTTGTGCGATGAGTCCTCTAACACTACGTTTTATGCTGCGTTCGCAAAGAATAAGGTATGTCTCTATACATGTAGACGGGCCTGAGCTAGGTGGGCGATATTCTCTGCAGACAGCTAGATTGACTTTCCACACAGGCGCGCTCAGCAGACCCTCCGATGGATGTCACTGCAATTTTCTGCAAACCGCTGTACTATCAACAAGCAGTCATGGCGACAGTTGACATGACCACGGGATCGCCGCTCAATATCGAACCTTTGAAGGACAAAGAACCACTGCCATGGCACATCTTCAACACGACGATGTTTGAAACTCTGCTGAATGCTAACTCATTGGGGGACGAAGTTCGCGGTGACATACTTCCCGCCAAAGCACTACCCAGTTATATAGAGATCATCGCTCGGGCTAGAAATGGCTCTTTGAGTCTTAACACTGGTGCTGGAAGTGTTGTTCAGCCCATGGTCGGACTCGCGATCGGTGCTGGTACAGATCCTCTGGAAAGCTACCTTGACTGGAAGGGGCTCAGCAAGGCCTACGCGGAAGCATATCGAGTCTTGTTCGCTCGCGCAATGGTCGACGTTCTCGGGAACGACTTCTCATCCGCTGATCTAACTTCGGGTCAACAACGAATTACAAGCGAGGCGGTCATCCTGGAACCGGTGTTCGTTTACATCGTCGAAGGTCTCCTTGGACTAATTTCGATCGCCACCATTGCTCTACTTGTGCTATCTTTCCTGAGGAAGAGATATCTCCGTACGAACATGGGGACTATCGCTAGTGTCATGTCTATCGTCGCAGATAACCATTCGCTGCTCTCGGACTTTGCCGGTCTGGACTGCTGCCCAGTTGAGGATATGCAGCAGAAGATCGGGGAGAAGAGGTACAAACTGGTCGGTGAGAACTCACAGACTTCGTAGGTCATGATATTCTGCTGCTGTACCTCACGATGCTGACAAGAAGTTAAGCCTCATAGAGATCGACGATCGCATCGACTTCAACGCTGGACCTCAATCCCCCACTTCTGGGCAACCCCGCGACACCCCGACAGGCATCGCAAAACCTGTTCGACCTAAGGAATTCAGTCTGTGGGTCGCAGTCCCATTCATCAACCTTTTTGTCGTTCTAGCGGTGGCACTCGGTGTAATCTTTGCGAAGGCGCAAGCGAACGGTGCGTATACACGTCAACAAAGGCTCCGACAAGCCACACAATGTGCTGATTCCTTATAGGCCTTCCATTACCCTCTTCCAACACGATAGTCCAGAACATACTCGAGAACTATATCCCTACGGCTTTCGCAACTCTGATTGAACCCATGTGGGTTTTGATCAACCGACTCCTTTGCATTTTGAGGCCTTTGGAAGAACTCCAAGATTGCAATGCGAAAGCGAAGAAGTCAATCGATCTAGATTACAGCTCTCTTCCCCCTCAACTCGTCATCTTCAAGGCACTCAAATCCAGACACTACATTCTCGCTGCAGTATGTTTTATGGCGCTATTGTCCAACGTTCTCGCGGTCGCTTTCTCCGGTATATTCAACCAAAGCTCAACCGAAGTACGCCAATCCCAGATCATGGCACCATCATTCGATCTAAAATTTGTCGCCATCAATGGAAGCGTGGGTCCCGAAAGCAACCGTCAATTCGGTTCTTACAACTCATCTGGTGCCTACGAAGGAGGAAGTGGAGAGGACCAATTCCTCATTGCGGAGTCGAATTATACACGCGATACACCGTTACCAGCGTGGACAGACAATCGGCTTTTCTACAGACCGTTTTCGTGGATCAACGACACTACCAGAAGCGTCAATGGCTCGGACAAGCTTCGTTTGGAAGCAACAACAACAGCCTTCGGTGCAGAACTCGACTGTGAAGAGTTGGAATTTGGCAAAGATTTCAACGCTGGAGTCGAAGTCGATGGTGCTGGAGCGGTCCCAATCATACGCGCTTCCATGAACGTCACAGTGCCTACTAAGCATGGCGATGTCTCTTGTAGCAGCCGAAGCCTTACATTGCGACCTGGACCTATCCGTGCACGAGCAACATGTGTTACAGGTCCTAGTGCTGCCGAGCTTGTTGCCGTTCTAGAGCCCCGAGTCAATGCGACGCAACACGAGAAAGATGCGTGTATGGGCGTAGTTGCTATGGGCTGGCTGCGTGAGCCGCAAGGACTGTGCCCCCTTGGCAAGAATCTGACCATAAGTAAGAGCAACTCAATGTTTGTTCGCTGCCGTCCAAGATTTGTTATGGGCACTGCGACAATTCGAGTTGACGGAGCTGGTCGTTTGGTACAGAAAGCGAGCAACTTCACCCTCGCCGGTGAGCAAATGATATACCACAGCACAAAGATACCTAAGCTAATCCATTCGCAGAGCTCAACGCATCGAATGATACATTGTCTGAGGTCTTCACCAATGACCCAATCAATCTGATAGGACAGTCAAACAAGTATCTGTTCAAATACGATAGCAACGGGTGGCACAACGACAGCTTCGCCGATGACTTCATGAACCACTTCATTCGCAGAGGTAGCAACAGCAGTCGTTTGATAGACCCATCTTTACCTCCACCAACCTTTGGCGATGTCGCCAAGCCACTGAGCGATGCCTATTCGAAGCTTTTCGCCATATGGCTCGGCACAAACAAAGATCTGCTACTAGAAAGATCTGACGCATCAGCACCTGCCTTACAGGCATGGAATATCGAGATGAGGCAGCACATCTTTGTATCCATGCCCATGTTCGTCATAGCAGAGGTCATTCTTTGCATATACGCCGTTGTTGCTGTCTTCGTATATGTGCGCCGGCCGGGCCAGTATCTTGCGCGGCTACCCACTTCAATTGCGTCTGTAATAGCCTTGTTCGCTGCAGGCTCTGCTGTGCAAGACCTACAGGACACATCGCATCTTGATAAAAAGGGCCGTGCTCAACACCTTGAAGCTATGGATTCGCGGTACGGATATGGAAGCTTTGTTGGCGCTGGAGACGGACGTGTTCACATTGGCATTGAGAAGACTCCGTTTGTGAGAACCAGGTCCAAGACCACATGGTTTGACAAGAAGGTTCATTCTTGGCGAAAGGGATCTACCAATTGAGCTACAGGGTAGGGGAACGCCAGGGTGCGCTCCGTGGTGAGACTTGGTACCCTATGTGACAGCTTAGACTTAATATATTGGTTCATACTCAGCGCATCATCATTTCATATTGATAGAGGACGTGACGGCCGCACACTCGCCCCTGCATCCCCAATAAGATACAGCTGTATTCGATGACGAAATCCTTATTTAGAGCTGAATATCACGCAATTTTGTGGACTGTAAACAAGCACAGACAGCCAGAGGTGAAGCCGCGAGTGCTGCAGCCGGGCCGTGTCTAGCATAACCCTGATCAGGCTACCTTGAGCAATGTCATTTCCACGGAGCAGATCACAGCCAGTGGTAGCACGGCGACGCAAGAGCAGGTGCTTTCACGGTTGGGAACTACTAGGAGTGTCTGCGCGTAGCGCACTGGGCTAGTTGCAAGCGTTGTGGAATAAGCAAGATAAACTACCGGAGAAGTATGAGATTGGTGACAGCTTTTTTTCCAGCCCGGCGAACTGCAATCTTGGTTTACTAGCGGAGTGATTCAACAGCTGGAGTGGTGCCGTTCCTTTGCCGTTGTCCATCTGAAAAGATCCTAGACGGTGTGCATTTACCATCTAGAAGCCAAGACGTGCCGACGGCGCAGATCACTGGCATAGCTTTGATCACGGCCACCAGAGATCCAGTGCACGGTATCCTACCAACAGATTATTGCTTTGTACGATGGGACCCCTCTAAGCACCTTTGATGTACCTAGCATGTGGTGTTCAGTCTACATGGCTTGTGATACGAGCGCAGCTAGCGGCGTGTTCTTTGGTCCCGCGTGACTGCCATTCGGTTGTAGTCGTAGAGAGCTTGGTAGGTATACAGACGGCACACTTGACTTGTTAGTGAACGAGGATGTCTTCAAAGTACACAACCTTCGCTAATTGCATCTCATTTTCGGCAGGTAGATCACGTCTACCAGTGCATGCTACGCTCGCATGTAACATTATGTCATGGCTTATGGCCACACATGCCGTGTCCGATGTGGAGAGGAATTGCCGAGTGCGTCGACCTGAGAGGGGAGCGGCGCGTCTAGCCGCGATACATTTAGCGGTAGGTTGGGAAATTACGATGTGGTATATCAAGTCCACTTGCGAGTTCCCGGCTAACTCTGAGGGCCTTCGAGGAATACTCGACAGCTTTTGTCCACAAAAAGGTCAGAGAGGGTCTGTGGTCGCCACCTGAATAGTTACAAAGAACAATCAACGCAAAGAACATTGATGTACGGAATGGCAATAGTCGGCTAAACTCTCTGTGAGCCACTTTCCTACGTTTGAAGTTTGGTAGCAAAGAGCGGATGGTTGAACGTTTTGCGGGATTATCATCTTGCCACTGTCTGAATGGTCACTTGGGGAAATGACGCCCGATCATTGAAGCGTTGACATAACTGAATGATAGTCCTGATATTGTAGTCCATGGACGCTCGAACCATCAAACGGAGATTTGGGCTCGATTAGGTGTGGAGACAAGTGACGCGTGGTAGCGTTCGTGCGTTCGGGGAAAGATGCAGGAATTGGCGGAAGTACGTTCTCACAGCATAAGAATTATGAGGAGATGAAGCGAATCTCGAGAAAAGGCAACGACAAAAAAAAAAGAATGTAGTTTGAAAGATGTTTGGTGGAAAGTGCGGCTTCGTCGCCTGTCACATGCTGACGCCTACGAGGCCAAGAGCTCTTGCCTTAACTCTTTCCCCGCGATCACTACGCCGTACCGTTGAGATGGCAGGAGCGGGGCTGTCATCGCTCGTTTCTGCAGGTCTCACTCAGAAAAGTTGCGTTCATGTGATAGGTTCGCCGTATCTTCGAGTCCTAGCACCAACCGCGCTGTTTCATTCCCGTTGGGCAGCAGCAACAACAAATCAAGTGGACGTAATCACAAACGGGGGTTGCTATTGTTTTGTCTCGCGCTGTTGGCGTCACTAACTTGCAGCTGGTGGTAGACGGCCCAATGTCAGTAGTCGACGGCGCATCCGAAACAAGGCCTCGCTAGCCTTTTTCGATCCCCACTGATCAGCTTTCAGGAGGAAAGGGAGGCCCAGCGGTGTTGGCTCCTCGCCGCCCTTCTATCGTGTGCGGGTAAGTGATTCGATGAAACAAGCTGCGGTTGGTAGACAGCCAATCAGTCGTTGGAGCGAGGAAGGCCTGAAGGCATCGACGCTTTCCCATCACGAGCTGATGTCGACGACAGGCTGGTAGCGAGGCCCACGGGTCGCTAGGTACCGCCGTGTCGTCACCTGCACGAGACCAGACGCCGCAGCCACACTCACCTTATGCCCGGATCCGCCCTACCTGCGACCTTCGTCGACACCGACGCTCCGACTCCGAGAGCAACTCGCCCACGTTGTGGCGCAGCCAGCTGAACACGAGGCCACGACAGTTGCATTGGGTCGATCTCCCAGATTAGCAGCGTTCGCCGTCAGGAACCATGCATAGACCGAGGGCTGTTAATAATCAGGGTCTAATACTGTCGAGAGTAACAGAAGTGACGGCTAAAAGGTGGAGGCCCAGTAAAAGACCTCGCGCATGAGGGATACCCAGGGTGCGACGCATGAAGTTCGATGACATCGACGCGGCCGGTCGCCCACAAGGCCTGCAATCAAAGACCTCTTTGTCATTCTGGCCGGTCCGCTGTTGTTAAGACTCCAGAACTTCAGTCTGGCGCCCGTGTCGCAAACACGGCGGTAAGTAACCTCTGCGTTACCTGCAAAAAGTCGCGATTGTACAACCTGGTTTGTTGTCGGACAAGCCATGGCGCACGCCCGGTGTGCGTCGAGATGAGCACGTCTGCCAATGGGAGGCTCCGCAGCGGCTTTCGCGAAGGATGCTGATCGTTTCAGCTTTAGCAGGCGATCGCCACTCCACACCATGGCTAGCTCTTCCCACTATGGAGTTATCGATAGGCTAGGATCCGGCATTCCCCTGCATAGTACACAGACCGTCGGCACAAACTTCAAACCTGACGTTGGCCCCCTGGCCATAGCCTCGCACCAATGCCTTCCCCTCTGAGTCGCTCTCCGCTTTTTTGTTTCAAGGACAATGCTCTTGTCATGACCACATGGCCAATGGTATCGGTATCGTGCCTGCCGAGAGCTCAGGACTTTGACGTTACACCACTTATTCTGCGCTCGTCCCCCTGCCGCTAAACCGGGAGGGGGACGCCAGCCGAAAGAAGCCCGTCAACCGTTGCAAGAGAAGCCTTGCTCCGTCGAATAGCCTATGCTTCTTCACGATGATCCGCCGGGCATAGGCTCCTGAGTCCTTGCACTGCTGTACGAGCCCGTCCCGACCGCCACAGGCTAGCCATGTGGGTAGACATGAGCCTCCGTATATAACTGATCTGTGTTTCGTCTGCTTTTCCTTCTCATCTCAGGCTATTCACAGCAGTACCAAACTCTTCTCTGTTTCTTTTGCTTTTGCACATCTTGCCTGTGGCAGATCACATTCTTTACCATTGCTGTGCGTCAACGAAGAGCTAGACTCAACAACACCTCTTCCGCCTATATCAAGTACCACTTGCTCTTCGACCTTCAAACCACCACAGCCACCACATTCATTTCATCGCTCAGCAGGTCTAGCGATATCCAAACGAGAATACCTACTTCTCACATCACTCTTTCAAACATCAACATGTTCTTCTCGACCTCCCTACTCGTGGCATTCGCCGCCAGCGCCACCGCACATATGACAATCGAAAACCCAGTTCCTTTCGGCAAAGACACCCTCACCAGCTCTCCTCTGGCCCCTGGCGATTTCCCTTGCAAGCAACGCTCTGGTGTCTACGACATCACTGAGATGAACCAGTGGAACGCTGGCGAAACTCAAACCATCAGCTTCAAGGGCTCCGCAGTTCACGGTGGTGGCTCATGCCAATTCTCCATCACCACTGACCCTGAGCCAACCGAGCAATCGCAGTGGAAGGTCATCCAGAGCGTCGTTGGAGGTTGCCCTTCCAATGTTTCCGCTAACCTGCCCGAAGCACCTGACGGTCATGGAGCAGCCACATTCCCTGTTACCATGCCAGACAACATTCCCGATGGTCGCTACACATTCGCATGGACTTGGCTCAACAAAATCGGCAACCGCGAATTCTACATGAACTGTGCTCCTGTTCAGGTTGGCGATGGGTCTAAGAAGGCCTCCACGGCCAGTGTCTCCGCGGCTCTCTCTAGTCTACCAGACATGTTCGTCGCCAATCTGCCCGACACTTCCTGCAGCACCGCTGAGGGCGAGGACTTCAACTACCCCAACCCTGGTCAGAACATAGTCGAGGGCAACGGTGCCGCTCTTGGTGACACTCTTACCGGCGGTGGATGTGATCAAATGACTAAGATGGGTGCTGGTAACGGACAGATGGGAACTCCGTCCCAGCCTGAGGCCTCTCAGCCAGCATCTAGCGAGGCGCCCGCTGCTACATCTGGTTACGCCGCACTCCCATCCAACGGTGGTGGTGTCTTTGCTCCTGGTGCTTCTTCCGCTCCAGCCGCTGAGCCCACTCCTGCTGAGCCCACTGCCCCCGTCGCCACACCTACCCCCACCTATGTTGCTGAGCAGCCTAGCAGCGCTCCTGAGCAGCCAGCCTACAGCTCGCCTCCTCAGGTGCCCGACAACAGCACTCCCAGCGCACCCTCCAGCGGCAGTGACTGCACTCCCTGTGACAACGATGGCGCCGTTGTATGCATCGGTTCCAACATGTTCGGTCTCTGCAACCGCGGATGCGCTGTTGCTCAGCCTCTCGCCAACGGCATGTCCTGCTCTGGTGGTGCTGTCGTTGCTTCCGTCAAGCGATCCGCCAAGTTCCCTCGCGCCCACCTCCACCGCCGCCACGGCTCGTCCCTCCTGATCTAAGAATCTCGCAAACTTTCTTACATATTATCAACAGCCGTTGGCTATGACATGCAATACTTGGAGTTTGGGACACGGATCGGGACACCCTCGGATTGGGTCGTCATACAGGATGGGTTGGGTTTTGGGTCTCTTGTTCATATACCTCTTCATGATGCGCGGATGCCGTTCGGTTCTGGCTCGTGACTGTTTTTGCGTTTTGCTGTTGTTACATTCATTCATGACCGGCTCTAGATTGAGCCGGCATGCCCTGTTATCTTCCTTGGAGAGAGTCGCTGTGATCTGCCTCGTGTCTACGAGCGCAACATACCCTGTACCTACTGTACAAAATTAAATCAAACGATTGTTCGTTCTATACTGCTTTAACCATATGAATATCGTGACGCTTGCTACCTTAGTCCCGCCTCTGATCCTTCCTTCCTACTGCAAAATTACCAACCAAGACAACATGGAAAAGGCATCCAGTTAATCAGTGTTTGCACTTCCCAACAATGTTATCCCCATGACTGTATATAACTCTGGCGATAACTACGAATGTAGCCAAGCAAAACCACGAGGCTATTCACCGGTTTATGACGTTCATGGGATGGCCGGCTCCTGATTGGGCAGCCTCTCAGGGAACAGCCAAGGGGACCAACTTCCCCTCTGATTCCCACTTTCAGCCCTAAGCTCCTGTCGCCAGCGCACACCCGAGCACGCGACGAGCCAAACGACAAATCCCCCTACGGCCAGTCGACTACTATTATTTCGTGCTGTCAGGCCCCAGAATTCTAACCGCGCCGAGGCCTTCGTTTCGCACGCCGCCGCCACTCAAGCTTAGGCGGTCATTGCGCTCGCCCCACTACTTCGCTGCCTTCACCTCCACCGTCTTCTCGTGCTCGCTCCCTACGGCTTGCTATTCAAACCGCCCACCATGGAGAACCAACCGCAGGACGTCGACCAGTCCAAGTACATTGACAATGCTATTCGCGCTGTCCGTGAGAAGAAGCCGCTCCCTGAGATTGACTTCACCCTGCATACTATGGAGGATGGAAACCAAGTGAGCACCCAGGAACGTGTGTGCAAAGGTATGCTCATTCTATACGTCGTGGCATGGCAATCCGCCAGCTTGTTCGCCTTTGCGCCGTTTTCGAAGCACACAGTCAGCTAACTGTGCCGTGTTCGCCAGACGTACAAGCACCCGCCTTCCACCCGCCCACCGACGAGCAATTCTTCTCACCGCAAGATCGCACAAAGCCCAACATTCAATTCCTGAAGCAGCACTTCTACCGCGAAGGTCGCTTGACCGAACAGCAGGCGCTATGGATCATAAAGAAGGGCACAGAGATCCTCAAGTCGGAACCCAACATGCTGGAGATGGACGCACCCATTACTGTGTGTGGTGATGTCCACGGGCAATACTACGATCTCATGAAGCTGTTTGAAGTCGGTGGCGACCCAGCAGAGACGCGCTACCTCTTCTTGGGAGACTACGTCGATCGCGGCTATTTCAGTATAGAGGTAAGACGGCAGGAACGCAGTCGCTGTGCATTGGCTGATACTCGCAGTGTGTTTTGTACCTCTGGTCGCTCAAGATCTGGTACCCCAACACCCTCTGGCTTCTCCGAGGAAACCACGAGTGCCGCCATTTGACCGACTACTTCACATTCAAGCTCGAATGCAAGCACAAGTACTCCGAGGCCGTGTACGAGGCCTGCATGGACTCGTTCTGCGCACTTCCCCTAGCGGCTGTTATGAACAAGCAGTTCTTGTGTATACACGGTGGATTGAGTCCCGAGCTCCACACTCTGGACGACTTGAAGAGCGTACGTGGAACCATGCCTCATCCAACGCCATCGCTAACCTTTTTAGATTGACCGTTTCCGCGAGCCACCTACCCACGGCCTCATGTGCGATATTCTCTGGGCTGATCCTCTCGAAGAATTCGGCCAGGAGAAGACCAACGACTTCTTCGTTCACAACCACGTCCGCGGATGCTCATACTTCTTTTCGTACCCCGCTGCGTGCGCTTTCCTCGAGAAAAACAACCTTCTGTCAATCATCCGCGCACACGAGGCGCAAGATGCTGGATACCGAATGTACAGGAAAACACGGACAACTGGTTTCCCCAGTGTCATGACAATCTTCAGCGCGCCGAACTACCTCGACGTATACAACAACAAGGCTGCGGTTCTGAAGTACGAGAACAACGTCATGAACATCCGACAGTTCAACTGCACACCGCATCCGTACTGGCTGCCTAACTTTATGGACGTCTTTACATGGTCATTGCCATTTGTTGGCGAAAAGAGTGAGCAGAAGTGCCAGTTCATATTGCGATATCATACTAACAAGTCGTAGTTACTGACATGCTCATTGCGATCCTAAACACCTGTTCGAAGGAGGAGCTCGAAGAGGAGACGCCCAGCTCTCTGGCTTCCGGTCCATCATCGCCACCCCTCTCCAGCCTCGACCCAGATTCGACCGAGTTCAAGCGACGTGCGATCAAAAACAAGATTCTGGCGATTGGTCGCCTCTCTCGTGTGTTCCAAGTGCTGCGCGAGGAGTCTGAGCGTGTCACTGAGCTCAAGACTGCATCGGGTGGTCGACTTCCCGCGGGTACGCTCATGCTCGGTGCGGAGGGAATCAAGCAGGCGATCCACAGCTTCGAGGACGCACGCAAGGTTGATTTGCAGAACGAGAGGCTCCCGCCGAGCCACGAAGAGGTGCGAAAGTCTCAGGAGGTTAGCCGAGAGCAGGCTCTCGAGAAGGCCACCAAAGAAGCCGACAACGACCAAGGTCTCGCGACTGTCGCAAGACGCATCAGCATGTAAGCATCGATCCTACGTAGCTTGTCGTGCAGTAACTAATTCGCATAGGTCATCTGGCTCTGGACGCAGCCGGAGAAGCTAGGCGCGATTCAAGCGCTCGCGATCCGAGAGCGAAGCCGATAGACGAGCTATGACATTGCAGGATGTTTAGGTTCTTGATTTCTGTATTGGCGGGCCACCAAATGTCATCAGTATACCACGTAGGCGTATTCGGGCCAGCGTAACCTAGAGGACATCACCTTACGAAGCACGGTAGTAATTTGTCGGTCGACTGCTCAAGTTTAAGGGCGTCGACCTCTCATTGAATCACATAAAATCAAATTCCTATGACACTAGTGTATAGCCACTGCTCAGTGTGAAGGTGTTTGAGACTGCGCACGGACCCGGACCGAAGCTAGCTTTGCCGACCTACGTCAACATGGACATTTCAACAGCAATGCTCAACTTTAAGCCCGATGCCTCCATGGGTGGCCTCAGTGCCGCGACTGACGATCTTTCGCAAGACAGGACCGACTGATCGACTCCCGCTTGCGCGTCGCTGTCGCAATGTCCTCACTTCACGCCCAACCACCAGCCTCCGCGTGCGCTCCGCATCGACGCATGTCTCCCCGACCGCGATAAATCTGCGCCCGCACATCCCACCTCGGAACAAGGAGTTGTACGATGCACTGTCAGCGCTTAGTGGAGCCGCCGAGACCTACGTCAATATAAGCAGATTGCAATTGGCATTGCGGGGTCTGGCGGCGCAGGATGCTGTAACAAGAGTCGCTGGTACGGAACGCGCAGTTGAATTTGACGACTAGGGGCTGACGATGGACAGTTCTCGGTTTGAACAGCCAATTGAGTGCGCAGCAGCTTGCACGGCTACTACTCGCAGATCCGCTCAGTGCTGAGGAGCAGTGGGAGAAGGAACTCGTGAAATCAGGCGACAGCAACGAGAGAGCGGTATTGCTAAAGTATGTACTTGATCTGCCATACTGGATAGCGCATCAGCTAACACGATTGTTGTGCAGATACGGCGACGATGCCGATGCCCATGCGCCTTCGCCCCTCTACAAGGTCCTCTCCATACCCTCACGAACCCTTCAATCGCACAACCTAGAGGTCCTCGTCTCTACCATCAACGTCAATGTCGCAAAGTGCTTACCTCATATGGTTACAGAGAGCTCCACCGAATCGTTGCTGGTTCCCAAGCTCCAGGCCACTTCCGCACGAGGATTGCCCGTCCCATACCCGGTACACAAGACTCTAGTATTAGGAGAAGGACTGGACAGCGCCATAGCATTTGGAAGATTTTCGGCGGATGGGCTGAACGAGATGGATGATGTGGTGAAGATGGCCGTCGACCTCCCCGCCCCGTCGGACGAAGTCAAGTCAGATACTCACGCCGCAAGCGCTCCCATCAACCTCCAAGTTGGCACGAAAGCGCTCGATAGCTTCCGCGAGTCGATCCAAAACTCCATCATCTATGAGCGAGGCTGGTTCAAAAGTGGTTTGCCAACGCTGTCGGAGTGGTTAGTCCAAGACCTTCAGGCCACAGACGCTATCAAGCCCCCGATGAAGACACTTGTAGCTTCTATAGCTGACGATGTAGAAGCGAGCATCACCAAACAAGACGCTGCTCGATTGCAACAGCTTGCTCCGGTCCAGACACAATCAGACATCACAACCTCCATCGTCGGTCATCTCGAGACCTGGGCCGAGAGGTCTCATGCGGAGCTCCGTGACGAGCTTGATGAAGCCTTCACGGCTCGAAATTGGCACAAGTTGGCTTGGTGGAAGCTCCTCTGGCGCGTGGACGACGTCACTATGATAAGCTCGGAGATCCTCGAGCGGCGATGGCTCGTCTCAGCGGAGAAGAACAGCATCTACCTCGCCGGTCGCATGAACCAAGCTGGTTTCCCAGATGACGTCCAACATCTCGCCGTTGCCGACATCCCGGAAGTGACAACGCAGGACACAGCGCCGACAGCAGAGAATCCGCGAACAGATCTATCCACCAACGTCCGGAAACCAATACCATGGCCTGAACACATCGCGGCTGCTCGCACAGAACTCATCAATGACACCGTGCCACCTCTGCAGGCACTCGCTCAACGACTTCTCCTACAGACCTTCAGCACGACTTCCCTCTCGTCCGCTGCCTCAGCACTGCTCTACGCCTCCATGTCTACATTCTCCGTCTTCGAGGCTTCAGCCGTCGCGGCACTCGGTCTTACGTTTTCTCTTCGCCGCATGCAGAAACTATGGGAAGGTGCCAGAGAATCATGGGAGGGTACCCTGAGAGAAGAGGGTAGACGCACGTTGAAGGGTACAGAGGAGAGAGTCAGATTCATCATCAAAAATGGAGGCAAGGAATACGTTGAGGATGAAAGTGTAGCTGAGAGGAGGGCAGCGAGGGAAGCTGTAGCAAAGGTCAGAGACGCACTTGAGCGGATGGACGGTGGAGATGGCAAGGGAAGTGTATGATAGATATGTATGAACTTCATTCAGTGTCGAGGAACAGTCTCTCGTCGTGGTTAATCAGAATTGGTGATTTCCTCAGTTTACCTTCCCTATCGACTCAGATATTCCGCGGTACAAGAGTTGCCTGTGCTGCTATGTCTGGGTGAAGTGGGATGACACGATCTCAGCGCAGGTTGCGCATTGCAGGTTGCCTGCAGGTTGCTTATTCACTGCAGTCTGCCAACACCCTGTCTTTGTTCTAAAGCTAGATGTGGCCTATATTGGCGCGGATTCGCGCCGATTTAGCGTGATTCTGCCTTATTCACTGACTTTCTGCAGCGTACTCTTGCAAGAGTACGAGGCCGTCACTGTAGTGTTGCCTAGAGTACATGACGGTGCCCTACTGTGCAGCATCGTCTATCGTCCTCGCCCCGCCTGCTCTACACTTCTTAACAAAGCCCTGTCTGGTGCATAGACAGAACCTGCAGGGTCTTGCTCTACACAGCATCTAATATTATATAGAGGTAGAAGAACATGCACGTAGATTTTCTAGAGAGCAGCGCACTTAGGCGGTAGAGGAATAAAAGGTAAAGGTAAGCACTTTTATGTATTTGTACATAGCTAGCTATCTGTAGAACCTGTGCTACTAGCAGAAGAACTGGATGCAAAAGCTAGTGTGCTCACTACGGAGGTACATGTAGAATCAGTGTGAAGAGTATGTGAAGTTGAAAGCAGCAAAGTCAGCACAAGAAAACAAAAAGCAAAGTGCACATGCCAGAGCAGTGAAGGCATTTGTCCGACCCTAGCTCGAACAGACGTGCCTAAGCGCATATTGATTTGGTCAGAGTCATAAACCACGCTTGAGATGATACTCGACAAAGGAAAGAATTACAAGCACAAAGACCGAAAGTGTGGGACCAGGCAGTCTGAAGAGAAGTCTTGCATGTCTGCTCTAGAGAAGTTAGCTATGTTGAAGAGTGAAGAGAAAAGTAAGCGGCTTGAAGAAGAGAAGACTTACTCAAGGTTAGAAGAGGTGAAGAACGGCTATGGCGTTACTTCAGCTTGGCCTTTAGATAACGGCCGAACTTATTGTTGTATTCCCTCTGTCGATCAGCCGAGTCAGCCTTGACCCATCGGTTCCAGATCCTCATATGCTTCGTTATTTGTTCGAAAGGTACTTTCCGGGTCTCCGTCAGCAGTCCTCTGGCTGAAAAGCTGATGTGATAATCGGTGCCCCGGCTGGTCTCGTGAGGGTTGATGATGTATTGAATCTGTTGCCTTGTTAGCACAGTCGTAAGAGTAAAGTTTGTGTACCCACATCATGGGCATTGTGCGTTCCAGATTCTTGTTCGTCTGAAACATCTCTTTGCGCAGATGCATTCGCGTCGGAGCTAGATTCTGCGTTGTTGGGCATCGGCTTTCGTTCTTCAGGAGCCCGTTGCTTTCCTTGAGCTTTAGACGAGAGTGCCGGTTGAGCTTGACCTCCTGCACTTTTTGCCATGCCCGCAGGTATTCTGACTTCTACACTTCCTCCCTGATTATGCGAAGTTAGTATTTCTATGTCACAGACAATATCCTCTTGATTGCTTACCCGACGTCGTGGGATGGACACGCTCGGTGCCATTACCCTTGGCTTCGAAGATAGAATCGATGGAATTGGGCCATCGTCTTCATCGTCTGAGGCCGTAACATCTGGGAGATAGTCTCGGCTTTCATCTTGAGGTTCGTGCATCTGACCGCGGTCATCCTCAAACGGTGAGTAGCGCATTGCGCCTTCAGAAGGTTTCCCTGAGCGTGGAGGACGTGAAGACATCTCGAAGTTGACGACTAGGATAGATAGAAGATGGGAGTGGAGTGTGATAAGCAGGGACTTGTTGTTGCTGTTAAGATGCGAGTATGGTGTAGTGTAAGAAGTCGAACCATGGATCACAAAAGAGACACCCTATGTAGTACCTACTCCCATCTCTACTAGCGGTCAAATAATTAGGCATCTGTCTCTCACCCTAAATGTGGTATGTGCGTCGCCTACCCCGCATTTACAAAAAAGAGATGAGAAGCTATAGGTGAAGGCAAAGGGCGGTATGTTGTGAGCAACAAGCGCTAGCTAGCGGTGTCTGAGGGACAGACAGCGAGTGGCTCCTGGCTGTGGGAGAGCAGCGTTTGCAACGGGCGGAAATGAACAGGTCAACAAACACAGACGCCAATGCCGCAGTGACGGTGGGAAAAGGACTGACGTTGAGTGGAAGTGGATGATGGGCAAGAAAAGCACACAAAGTGACTGGCGTAACAAGAGTGTTGAACATGAAGTGTATAATATGAAGTTCAACTTTAATTATGATCTGAATAAACACCAAACAAACCGAAGCGCTAGCTAGACATTGTAGTGACTGTGCAGCAACGCTGTACAAAATACCAAATGAGTATACTCGCAAAACATCAAAACAGAATGCTACTGTGTACGACCACTCCATCGCAGACCCATCTAGAAGATCTCGCCAAGTCGAGGCTTTCCACCCTTCCAATCATTGCGCTCGTAGTATCGGAAGACAAGATCGTAGCCGTCCAAGTCATGTACAATGCGGTCGACGCGACGGTATCCGGCAATTGTTTCCATCCTCTTCGCCTTCTCAATGTTCTTGGCGGGCATCTCGTCAGCAGTAGGCTTAGCCTCGAAAAGAGTGACGCTGAACCTGCCAGGCTTGAAGATGCCGACGACATGCTCGACGACGTCAGCCGTCTCTCTACCAGTCTGGCGGGCAGGTACATTGGTCTCGAACGAGGCGTAGGAGCACTGGGGCTCGGGTGTGACGTGTACAGTGAAGTAGTGGGTGGCATCAGAACCCTTCTTGGAGCCGTTGGGAGCACCACCTGGGGCGGGAATGACGCCGTTGGCCGAGAAGCCACAGGGCGTGAACAGGTAGGCGTCGATGCGGGCGTCGGGGTACTTGGAGGTAGGGTAAACATCAGCCAGACCACAGTGCTCAGAAACAACCGTGCCGAGCGTATGGCCCTCAGTGGTCAACTCCTCCGGGAAAGTAAGCTCCTCGTCAGAGTTGAAACCAGAGTGATCGGAAGAGGTCTGCTCGAACACGTCGAAGCTGTCGTCAGAGGTATGGGTGTTAGCAGCGGAATTGAGGACAGTGGAGCCGCCGAGGCTCTCGCTGTGGCCATTCTCTTCCGCAATGGTACCTAGGGACTGGATGGCGTTCTTGCGAGCCTCACGGGCCCTCTGGATGTAGCGACCTTCCGCAACCGCACTTGCGTCCTCTAGATAGAACTGACGGGCGTTCTTCTCATCGAGGTCGGTCATCAGAATCTCCAGAGTCTCGTCCTCTTCTTCGTCGGTGGCCTGCTCACGCAACATGCGTTGGGGGTGGCTCACGAACTTGGTCTCGGTATCAGGCGCAAGCTTCTCTTCACCAGGACTGGGAGGTGGAGTGAGGCTGGTGTCTGGACCGGTGATGTAGAGGTACCAATGTTCGCCGTTCATCTTGCCAATCATATAGGCACTGCCACCCTGGAAGCGGTCGTCAAGGTAGCGAACCTCATCACGCCAGCTGCGGTGGGGTCCACGCTGCTGATCGGGGTAGAGATAGTTCTTCCTGCTGTAGAACACGCGGTATGGTGTGGCGGCTGGCGCGACGCCTGATGCCTTGGGTGCAACGAAGGGGAACCCGACGCCTGCAGCAATCTCCAGCATACGGGTGAGTCCCCATAGTAGAGTTGTGGTTCCGCAGGTCTTGAGCACGACCTTGTGAGGAAAGACGAACATGCTCGACTCGGACAAGAGGTAAGCGTCGACATGTTCAGACTCGATGACAGAGAGAACCTTGCAGTTGACAAGATCGAGCATGTCCTTCCAGACATCTGCCGACACCGTCTTCAGTCCAGTTGGGCCGGCCTGTCCAGGCAGTTCGGTAGCAGAAGCGCTAAACCATACTTCCAAGAGCTTCTCAGGACCCTCAAACGAGTTGGTGGAGTCGAGATCGATGGTAGCCTCCTTGTTGATGGTCAAATGAGGGGTGCCAATGTGCGACGAAGGCGAGGCAGTGTAGTGCTGAGGAATCTCAGTAGCGACCATCTCTTGACTGTGTGGCTGTCGCGCGCACGAACAGGTATGATAGGTGTGGTTGGTGGCCGTGGCTGTACGGAAGCTTGGAGAGGTGGCTAGCTAGGAAGCTATGTGCAGCACAACCTCGCTCAGACAAGCAATGCGGTGCTCGCCTGAGAAGAATTGGCCCACGGGTCGCAAAGAGTAGGCGAGGCTGGCGTGTGCCAGCAGCAGTTTATGGAGGAGAGGGTAACCGACCGTAGTCGATGTTAGGGAGGTCGGGCGTTGAGGGGAATAAACGAGGCCTTGCGCCGGGAAATGGTGGCAGCGGTTGGGGTCCTCGCGATACCAGATTCCGATACCCTGGGGAAGTATCGGGTCCAGCAGACGAGGAGATCTGCTTTAAATGGGTACGATGGTGGGTGGTGAAGGACGGGGCGTGGCGGGTGTTATCGAGGCCTGTGAATAGTCAGCACTGGCCCTTGGGATGTCTTGCACGCTGCTTCTCGCGGAGACAACGACTCACTTCGCAGGCTTGGACAGAAAGCGTACCAGGTCCTCGCGACGCATAGAAGAGCCGAGGTGGGCGGCGATAGACGGTCTGCGGGCTACTGAAGCCTAGGCAGTGGTGGTGAGGGAGGAGAGTAGGTCTGCCAGCGTGACGATGTAGGTTTGGTGGGCAGCGTTGAGCAGAGAGTCAATGCAATGGCGTTGGGCGCTGATAGAATCTGCGTGAATGAGCGGGCGGACGTGACGAGGTTATATTCCCACACGGCAGGCACGAGAGAGATGGGCGTGTGCAGAGTGTCAGGAGAGCGACGTACTGTGCGCAGTGGATGCAAACTTCACTAGGGGAATTTGACGTGTGTGGTGCTGGGGCGACGTCGTGGAAGCTTCGGGCCTTCACGCGACAGCGATTTTTCACGAGTGCGGTGTTTTCGCATCAGGACGTCACCGCCCGTCCCAGTTGGCTGGAGCGCCCCGCCGTCTGCCATCCATGGATTTCACCCGACTCGGCCACCCGCCATGTGCCTGACACAAGACGCGAATAGGTCCGACTGCCACTGCTGCCATGATCGGCTGCTGCTATGTACATCAGGGAACATGCTGCCTCTGCCATTCCATGCTACGCCCAGTCGGGATTAGCAGCACATGATCACGGCTTTACACGTACGTACCAATGGTACCTGATCTCACCAGCACAGCCTTAGCCCATCAATCAGAACCCATTGGGCATGCACTCTATGCTCCTTCGCAATCTCTTTCGTCAAAGTATCCCAATTCTAACGCAGCTGCTTTGCATTACTGCGTGCGGCCACCTCTCACAACCAGGGCGAAAATACACACCATCCAATATAGCCAAGTTGATTGTATTGCCCGGAATAATAATCGCACAAACTGCGTATACATGTATAACACCTCCCCATAAGGACACCAGGCCCTATGGCGTCAGCACAGCCCCTGCAACAAGCAAGCATACTCCCAGTACTCGTGACTACGGGCCGAAACACCAGGCGCACCCGTCTGTCTTTGTTCCAGCTTAATCGCATACAACAAACCTGATATATCTATATCCTGAATCAACACTTATTACCACCTAACCTTCCCTTTCAGGCATCTTCAACTTCAGCTTCCCTCTATTAATCATCATCTCGAAACATTCTCTCAGATCCAATACCAGCGCATCTGGTGCCTCGAAGCCTGGCAACATTGCGGGGCGGCCAGCATGGCGCTTCACCCAGGATATGTCCCAGGAACGTGCGCCCCACATTAGCGGCGTTGCGGTGCTGCTGTTAGGATGGAGGAAGGTGGAGATGCCAATTGGGGTGGATGTAAAGGGTTGGTAAGAGGGGGATTGCATGTCGATGTGTACGCGGCGGAGCCAGCGGAGGGCCTATCCGTCGTCAGACGTCAGCGGTGAGGAACTTCAGGAGAAGAGTTCAAGGGTAGACCAAGATGGGCCTCAGCACAACTTCAGGTGGCAAAGAGTACGTCACAGACAGCGGCGAGTACCTCCCGGCCTCCTCATAACAACCGTGTCAGATATATGAAAAAGGTAACGTACCGCTTCAGGCCCTGGTAACCATTGCAACATTGTAAAGTTCAGCACCTCCGTAGGACTCCATGTATAACTCTTCCCATCGCCGTCCACTCTATCTGGGCTCGTCGCACCTCCAAGCTGTGCCGTAGATGTCGAAGGAACATCCTCCTCTTCCTCCTGCTCTTCCTCACCACGCTGCATCTCTAGCTCAACCGGTGAAAGAAAGGGACTCCTTGGCCGCGACGAGAGAGGACGCGGTAATACATCTCTCGTATGTATTATATCTAGCAAGGCGGCGAGCAATCCCACTGGCGAGTCGCATAAAGAGAAGGCCAATGTCTGCGGTCGAAGCGAGTAGAGGCGATGGAGCGTAGGTCCTAGCGGCTCACCGCCATACACTGCATCCAATGTTGCCGGGTCTTTCCCATGCAGGCCTTTCGGAGGTGTCTGCACTTCATTCGGCATATATCCAAAACTCAACAACGGCACCTTTGCCCTTGTCAGCTTCGCAACCCGGTACTTGAGATAACGCATCGGCCCGCTCTTCAAGTTCGGCTTGTCAAACGATGGATTCGTAGTATGCACTGCCCGACAACTCTCTGGATGTCTTAATGCCAACGCGCGACATATACCAAATCCCCTGTAAGACTCGTCAGCGACCACGTGGCCAAAGTCG